ATTGCTATTAGGCTGGAGGCCATTGCTATTAGGCTGGAGGCCATTGCTATTGGGCCATCGCTACGAGGCTGGAGGCCATTCCCATTAGGCTGGAGGCCATTGCTATTGGGCTGGCTGGCCATCGCTATTAGGCTGGAGGCCATTCCCATTAGGCTGGAGGCCATTGCTATTGGGCTGGCTGGCCATCGCTAGTCCTCAAGAGAAGTTGAGCTTTTCTCCGTCTTCAGCTGTGCTGTCGAATGTGGGTGAGGTCTCCTCGAAGAAGTTTCACCTCAATCCACCGGTGAAGCCGGTGCAGGCGAAGATGGTGACGACCGTGACAACCGCTTTTTCATTGGTCTGAAGCTACTAGGAACAAGTGCATCGCTACTAGTAACAAGGGCCTTGCTAGTAGTAACAAGAAGCTATTAGAAACAACCGCTGTAAGGGGAAAGAGATGAAGAAAAAGATACATGTTAAAGCCCCTAGTAGCGTCCTTGCTCCTAGTAGGTCCAAAAGCTTTAGATTCCCTAAAACAAGGAAACTGAATGAGTGATGCGCAGGGTTTTGCGTCCCAGCACGTGGACTAGCAGTGAACACAACGTATCTCTTTACTACTGGCTACTTAAGATCTCACTATGGCTTACCCAAACAATATCGTAGCCAAAGCTCGTTCTTTTGCCTCATCGTAAGATTCGATTAGTTCCAAGGTGTGGTGGAGCTAAAAAGTGTTCGCAAGAGCACGAGAACCGAAGCCTAAGCATAGGGAGAGGTAAAGACGAGACCTTGTAGATTTTAGGGGTAGAGAATTCAAAGAATCAATCGGTCAGCAATCTGGCAGATGCGTTCTTCCTGGAAGGTCAATAGTGTCCTTTGTAGATGCATTCATGCAAGGGACTGTCTTCATGTTCAATATAGGAGAGTGTAGGAACTTCTTGTTCCTAGTAGTAATGCCAGGAGCTACTAGTAGCGTCCTTGCTACTAGTAGAAATGTCCTTGTTACTTACTAGTAGTGATGCCCTTCACATTGAAATCCTTATCAACTGTTTATCGATTTCGTTCACAAACCATCCTCCATCAGCCACATGAGGTCGCCACTCTGACCTTTCAGTCGAGGCTGGTCCAAGTGCAAGTCTGGAAGTCTGGAAAGAACACGAAAATCAAAGAATACTAGGAACAAGAGGACGCTACTAGGAGCAAAGGAAAGGTCTACAAGAAGAAGAATAGCCAAGACTGCTGTTCTTGGCAAGCCAGGTCTTTTGACAATGAGTCTGCCTGTGACCACAGCCTCCTTGCCGAGACAGACAACAATCTTCACGACGGTAGAGGAAGAGTGTGATGTTTTTGCAACACACATGTTTTTGGATAGAAGCACACAAGCGAGCATTGACAAGTCGGTTTGCAAGGGCTGTCAATCGTGTTTCACGGATGTGGACATTGGGAAGACTTTGAAGCACTGTGTTTGTGCTCTGTTTTTGTTCCATTGGAGTGAGGGATACTCAACATGTTTTGAAGCTCCCACAATCTAGACGACAGGAATGGCTGGAATTCAGCTGTCAGTCCTGTTGCCAGACACTTGCTAACCCGCAAGGAATTCAGACACGGAAGGTAAAGTGCCTACCTGAAGTGCTTGCAAATTGGTCCAAAAGGGGCGAACACGAAACCTATTTCCATACAGGGAGAGAACGAATTCCTTATTCTTGTTGTTTTCTTTTTTTTATCCCGCGGGGGGGGGGTAGACCGTAGTAGTAGCTAGAGGTAGCTAGAGCTGGCTAGTAGCTAGGCAGCTAGTAGCTTCAGTGGCTACTACATATGAACGCAGGATAGCTCACCCACTATCATGTGGTTCCTAGATGTTTGGGGAAACTTAACAGAACGAGGCCAGCAGAGGAACCCGCTTTGGCATGTTTGGGACACCCAGGCTTGATGCAGTTTCTAGTCTGTGAGGAGCGGAAAGGTCGGAGGTTTGATCAAAAATTTTTCCGACGTTTGGCAGAACAAGTTCTTTTCTCCTTGACTTGAAAAGTAAGGCCACATCCACAACATCAGCATCGCTGACCAATGACCCAAGCCGTGTTGAGGATCCCAAAGAGTCAAGATGCATCAGGGTGCTGTAGGTTTGCGTTCGCTTTAAAGGACTGAACCTCAATGGAGCAACACCCTAGTGGCGATGGCCTTCAACCAGGAATTCATGTCCCCTTAAATGGCAGAACATGCTGTGTGGAGCAGTTCACCACAATTTCCGCAGTTGCCTTTTTGGTTAATCCCTCTTTTGCAGGTTCCACATGTTTCCCACACTGTGTATTGTTAAGTCCTCTTCCACATGGTGGGAAAGTAAACAGCAAGATCGGCAAGATCTAACATCAGTGAAAAGCATGTTCAGATTGTGGGGTTCTTAGGGGGGCTTCCTTGAAGAAGCGCTCGCACTGAAGAAGAGCCCCTAGTAGCGTCCTTGTTCCTAGTAGCGATGCCCTTTGCTCCTAGTATCTTCTTGCTCCTAGTAGTAAGGCCAGGAGCCCCTAGTAGCGTCCAGATTACTAGGCTGACTCAGGGCGAGGGAGCTAAACAGTTTCAGTTTTGTTCCAGCTCACTGCCATGGGCTGTCAACCTTCAAAGGATGAGGACTCGTCTGCAAACTCAGAGTACAAGCTTTGGTGAGGGCTACGCACGGGCAATGTGTATATTACTAAGTGTGGGACGCTGCATCCTTCGCAGATACCTCAGAACCAGCAGATTCTTCTGCGCAAACAACAATCATAAGAATATATTGGATAAGAAAAAA